ATTGTTGAATACTTTGCATTTCTGAATGAGAACTACTCATTCAGAAGGAGGGAATTAGAGAAATGTGATCAGATTTCCTAAGCTTAGAAGACAAGGTGTATGACTTCTTTTAAATCTTTGTTGTTTTTATAGAAGAATACTTTTGTTCTCATCAAATGATTTGAATAGTCATTGTCAGATTTCAAATGGTATCATTTCCAGGACTTTCTAATAGATACCCAAATCTATGAGGTCCCCTATATCAAATGTAGTATTTATATATAATGTACATATACCTCCCTATATGCTTTAATGCTTTGCAGGTCCTTATAATTCTTAAAACAATGTAAGTGCTGTATAAACAGTTGTATAAGGAACAATGAGGAAAGCTTTATACTGTTCAAGACAGATATAATTAAAAATATTCTCAACTGAATTATATGTGGCTCCACAATTGTGGAACTTGTTGATGCAGATGCTTATAGCAGGCTTTTTTGGACCACCAGTTCCCAAATTATGACATAGAGACTTACTATTAATTATGAAAGTTCAGCCTTAGCATAGGCTTGTTTCTAACTGTAATTAACCCATATTTTAAAATCTATGTTCTTACATGTACTTGTTACTTCATCTCAATTTTGCCTACTCTGTTTCCTCCCTATCTGGATAACCCTGTCTTTCTTCTTTCCAGAGCTCTCTCTGTCCAGAAGTCCTGGCTTAACCACCTGCTGCCTAGCTATTGGCTTTTTTTTTTAAATCAAACAATCATGGTGACATATCTTTACACAGTGTAGTCAAATATCTCTCAACATTTCCCACTTTTTGTCTAAATAAAAAAGGTTTTAACTCTTAACAATGCAAAACTATATAAAATAAGAGCAATTATCAAGTAAGAAATACACTCACAATGTCCAGTCCATTATTATTTGGCAAATATCTCGGTGAGTCCAAATTTTTGTACCTAATTTGCTTTCTATGCTAACTAGGGAAAACTAATTATATTTTTCAACTATATAATCTTCAACCATGTTAGAGACCTGAAAGGGATATAATATTATCTGATTAAACAAGAAAAGCAGAGCAAGCAACTTCCAAAACTAAGAAATGACAGGGACTTCTGGTTACCTGTACAGTTACCCCAAGATTCCTTTGTAATGTTTTGGCGTCCATCTTTACCCTACAAGCTTAGAATATCTAGCAGACTTTTCTGTGAAGCAGGTAGTTTTGAAGGACTGTCCTACCCTGCTTGGCAAAGCTCAACAGTCACTGTCTTTTGTGTCCTCTTGTCTATTTTAGACAGCATACTGCCAGCAGTTGAAGCAAGGGTACTTTCTTTGCCCAGTGGCTAACTTTTCCATAATAAATGTAAACTCCATGTGGAGGTTCCTTGATGCCAATCATCCTTTTTTTTGAAGTAGATTAGTGCTGCCAGAAGCAGACATATCTTACTGTCAAGAAAAGTCTTAGGTTATTAAAACATCTTAAAGGTCATAATATATATATATATATATATATATTATATGTTATTATATATATATATATATATAATATATGAAGTATTTGTAGATCACCCTCTATCTAAAAAATATTTTTGTATGACCTTGAGAACATACCTAATATTGTTATGGATGACTGTTAACCTGTATTTCTTTATTATTATACATAGATTTCAAGGGCCAAAACTTAGCATCCCTTTTTAAAATGAGCTGCACAGGTCCAATACCTTAAAGAAGAATAGAAACATATATATACAGTATAACAAAAATAACCTTAAATTTGTATCAATATATAAAAATCAGGGTTTCTTTGTGGCTTTGGAGGCTGTCCTGGAACTAGCTCTTGTAGACAAGTTTGGTCTTGAATTCACAGAGACCCACCTACTTCTGCCTTCCAAGTGCTGGGATTAAAGGTGTGCACCATCACCGCCCAGCAGTAGTGGTTGTTTAAAAGGAGACTCAGCAATCCACCCTCTTATCCCATCATTTCTATACTATGTCTTTTCAGAAAGAGATCCCTGAATCTAATCTCCTTTGCTCAGTTATTTTTTTCTGATTATTGCCAATAACAATTTGTAACTAATCTCCCTAAATGATGACAAATATCCATAACCCACTAAATGTCCCAAACCCCCCCCACCCCACACCTTGGGAATGGGGGTGTTGTCTTTTCTAGACAGCTTCTTGTCTAAATGCAATAGCATCTTTGTGGGACCCTGGAAAAAAAAGCCATAACATTGATTGTTCAGTCCTGTGCAATGGGAAAGTGCAAGGCTTATCTGTAGTCCTAGCTGGAGTAGTCTATGGAGGCTAGACCATCTTAGATAATCACCTTGAAGCTGTTATGGATGTAGAACTCTGAGGAAACTGTAATGGAGATACTCTGAGAGGCTGTTTCATATGGGCTACCCATTTTCATTGGTGTCTGGTCCCCTTGCTCTGTCTTGTAGTTTGTTAGGTTTATTTCTTTATGTCTATAGTTATGATTTTCAGAGTGTCTCACCTGATCAAACTTGATCTCTATCAACCTTGAATGAATCCACAACCTTTCATTTTCTATGACAAGAAAAATGTAACCTCTTTCCCAACACAATACCTTTTCTGACTTCCATTTTGAAGATAAAACATTTCTAAAGTATCTAGGCTGGCTTAATTTCCTCTTACAATCCCATGTTTCTCAGCAGCTGTCATTCACTCATCATTAATAAAAAATTCAAAGCCAATGAGATATCATATATGATCCAGACTCTGCATATTTTAAATCTTTATGAGGCATATTCTTTTATTTTATCTTCTATTTATAAACTACTTTTTACTCTGTCTATACCAATTTTCTTTTGTTTTAAGCCTACACACAGTTTTAAAATACACTGTAACCTGTTTAGAGGTTTTTTTTTTTTTTTTTTTTTTTTTTTCATCTAGATCTGTCTTTACTGAGCACTTGTAGTATTCCCTGATCAAGTGAGTCAGGTGCCCCATGGCTCAGCTTAGCACAGCAGCCAGCAGTACCTCTGTATGTCAAGTACTAGCCCTCCTGAGAGCCTGCAGGATTAGAAAGCCATATCTGGGTCCTTAGGTTTTTCAGGCTCTATGTTTGCATATTGAAGATTCAAGTTCCCACATTAGATGCCATATGTAGTAAGCTTTTTTTTGGGGGAGATCACCAGCCCCCAAATTATGACAGAGTCTTATTATTAATTATTAAAGGTTGGCCTTGTTTCTAACTAGCTCTTATAACTTAAATTAACTCATTTCCATTAATCTATGTGCTGTCATGTGGCTTGTGACTTTTACCTGTCCTGCATGTCCTTCTTCCTCTGTATCCAGCTGGCATCCTTACCTTTCTTCTTCCCTGAGACTTCTCTGTCCCCAGAAGTCCCATTTAACCTCTTCCTTCCTAGCTATTAAACCGATCACAGTGACACATCTTTACATAGTGTAAAGGAATATTCTACAACGTTCCCCCCTTTTTATTTAATTAAAAGGAAAGGTTTTTACTTTAACAGATGCTGACTGTGTCTTATGGCATGCTTTTGTAGTTTGATGATACATGTCATTGTACTTCCAGTGGTAATACTAAAACAGGGTTATCTGGTTCCCTCCTTACTCACTGGAAAGATTCCTGGCTTAAAGTATGCTTTTCTTTTTTGAGTTGATATTGTGGGTAAATTAAGCATATGTATTATATAAACTAGCTCACATACTTATAATGTTTGTTTTTCATAGTAAGAACTATTAAAAAGCATCTACCACAGTAATTTTGAAGTAAATATATTTTTCCATTTGCCTTTTATTAGTCTCCTAGGAAGGGCAAAAATGATCATAGGATAAATGAAAGTAAAAGTAAAAGGAAGATAAAAATTAGAAGCTAGTAAACTTGTACAAAATGCCTGTATGAATGCTTCATGACCATTCTAGAGCAGATAGCAAATTTGACTTGGGACATTTTTTTCTTTTTCTTTTTAACCTCTAGTGCAAAGCTGCAAGATATGATGAGATATACAGTTCACAGTGTTCTAGAAAGTAAAAAGAATGAATCAGTTGGCACATTCCAGTTAGTTCTGGAATCCTTAAGAAATTTCTCCCATAAGTGGTGATAAAGAAGGCTATTTGAAAAGAAAATATTTTGAGGGACTAGAGGGAAGGATTGATGTTATTTGAAGAAAATTAAGAAGCTTCAAGTGATAGCTGATGATTTCTGAAATCCCTTGAGGTTGCACTTGTGGGCAGGACCAAGTAGACTTCATAACATACACTCCTTGATCCCTTCATATCATTCTGCAGTCAGTATGTATATTGTTTTTTCTCCTGAATATATTATAATATACTGTACATTATAGTTATTGTCTTCATTTTCATTTCTTTATTTTCATATCTCTATGTAGCACAAAGTCTGGTATCAAGATTGCAATAAATGTTTATTAGATGAATGAAAGAATGGAAAAAACCTGGTGGTAAATGTACACTGAAAGGACTGATTTAGACTAAAGGGATTTTTAGTTATTTGAAGCTAACTAGCTATAAGTATGTTCATCACAATGATATTGTTGTTGATGATCAGGTAGCATTGGTGTCTTCTGAGTTCACTCACATGAAAAACTTTAGGGCAGGTTTAGTAATTCATATCAAACTATCCATGGCATAAAAACTCATTTTACCATTTACCACCCATCTTTTCAGGAGAAGGGCTGTGGGACTTGCTGAAGTTCAGAAGATTTCTCTTGAGCTACTAGAAAGCAAAGGGATTTCTGAGTCATTATATTTACTGTTTAAGTTTCTAATTAAAAATACTTATCTGGGTAATTAAATGATGTCTATCTTCTATTTAATAAAACCAATGGGAGGCACCCATATTCACACACATTAGTTGAATGTGAGCCTTTTGGGAGACAACCCAGATGTTTGGTGAAAGAAGCTGGACAACTAACTTTTGCTTTTATATATGGAGTACTGCTGCTTCCACTGAATTGCATGAATGTATTCCCTGTGGTGACTGACTAAAGGCTTTGTTCCTCACCCTTACAGAGATACAGAATACAAAGGGCTGCAGCTCTCTCTGGATCAGATTTCAGCCTCTAAGCCCACCTTCTCTTATGCCAGCAGCTCCACACCCACCATCACTGACAACAGGAAGGGGGCCAAGGCTCGGCTCTCCAGCACCAAGTCAAAATCCAGGACCTCTCCATATCCTCAGGTAAGTACATGGATGCTTTACAACTTTTTTTTTTTGACCTGGTTTGATCTTGAAGTTGATGTAATTATGTGTTGTTGATAGATTAAAAACTGTTCAGAGGAACTGTGAATTGATTTTGTTGTTTGCTGTGTCCATGGGAGTTTAGTTTGAATCATCACAATTTCGTTGATATGTCTATTGATTCTACTTCCTGCATTCTCTGACTCCCAACAATGATTAGCTTGGAAGATTTAGCTGGCATAATAAAACAAAGGAAATAAGGACCCAACAGAAAAGTTAAATTAAGATGGGAATTTTAAAAGAGAAAGATAAGAGATTAAAGCTAAGAATGAAAATGGCTTCAGCATGAGATTTGCTCACAGATTGCACATGAGGGAAATGGGTCAGACAGAACCTTCCAGATGACAGGACAGAAACAGGTCTCTCTTCTTAACAAGGCAAGGCAGTGAGATGATGACACCCAGAGGAGGTATCCAGAAATACTGAAGAGTACATGTAAGAGAAATGGGTTTTAGAGGGAAAAGTGTGTGTGTGTGTGTGTGTGTGTGTGTGTGTGTGTGTGTGTGTGTGTGTGTGTGTATGAGACCAGTGTGTAATACATAAAAACTAGATTTTGGCAAGATGTGTCTGTGCAGCTTCCTGCTTGGAGGAGGTAGCACAGGATTGAGGATTCCCCACCCCTGTATCCTGTGGCCACTTTGACTCCGACCTCTTTGGGCAATGGACTGCCAGACTATTTGTAGTATTCTGTGGTTTCTCAGCAGGTTATTCTTGGGCTAGTAGAAAACCAAAGGGCTTTTCTGAGGCACTATACTTACAATTTATTATTATTACTACTATTATTAAAATGCCAATCTGAGGGATACAGAAGTGATTATTTTTGTTCTTTTTAGAGCTGTTATTTTGTCAACATGTATAAGTGTGAACTATTTGGAGAAAAGTTTTTCATTGACTCAGTTGTCATTAAAAAGCTACTGTTTGCTAAGTTATTTTCAATCCAGATAATGAAGGTGAGAAAAGAGTGGCGTCTGCCCCCAAGAGGCTTAGGTCACATAGCTCACAATTTTTCCACAGAAGATGGGGTTTCTTTATTTTGACAAAAGGAGGTGGGTGAGGCCTCCATGATTTTTACCACACAGCTTCCTCCAGGATAGCTGAGTACTTTACTTGTGAGCTATAAAGTAAGATGAGCAAAGACACTGCAAATGGGAGCTGCTCCTTTCTCTAATTATTCTTTAAGAATAGCTAGACTTCAAATTTTATGCAGCGTAGTTCTTATAAATTTTTTGAGATTTATTTGTTTTCCATTTTATGTGTACTGGTGTTTTGCCTGCATGTATGTTTGTGCTCCCTGTGCATTAATTGCTCATAGATATAAGAAGAGGGCATCAGATCCTCTGGAACTGGAGTTACAGAGAGCTTTTAGTCACTATGTGGGTGCTGAGAATTGAACCCTGTTCTTGCATAAGAACAGCCAGTTCTATTCACTGCTTAGTCATCTCTTCAGCCCCGTGCATTGTTTTTATAAGTTTTCAACTCAGTGGGTGTGAGCTGAGGATCTGTTTCAGAAGATGCTACAGTGATCACTGTCAGATCTAGGGATACGGATTGGGTAAAATATAAACACGTGGTATAAGACATATTCTTAAAATTTTCGATAAGGTATACTATAGAGAAAGAAATGTAATGAGAGATGATGTGTATAGAAGCTTTGTGAATACTGTCTGAAAGGCGAGGGTTCTCTAATTATAGGGGTAGGATCAGGCATATGGAAATAAAAAAGAAGATGAAAAATCAGGAAGACCAAGACTGAGAAATGCAAGAATATGTCATTAGTGTGACTGGACCTAGAGATGGAGTGGGGAAGGTCAGTGTTTTTGAATGGGTGACTGATGTTTGTAAAAATAGACTGCTGCCAATATATACTAGTTTAAATATTTTGTGGAGACTAAAATTTTTTTGGGGGTAGGTATTGATAAGGTAAGCAAGGGAAATTATTCAGGGAACTAATTCCCGTAGCTCTGATGTGAGTTTATAAAGACCTGCTAAAGTTGATGAAGTGGAAGGCAAAATAAAGAAAGAATGGTTGTAGATATATTTTTGTCATATTTTATATCATTATTTTGATATTATACAGCTTGTTTTCAAGTTTTTCAAGTCAAACATATTGAATTCCTCCATGTGTATTAATAGATGAATAATGATAATGAGACAATGGCTTGAATTACATTTTAGATGCTTCTGCCCATTTTAGGGTAATTTTTATTTTTGCTTTTGATTAAAATTTTATTGTAAAAAACTGCAAATAAAAGCACCACATGCTTATTTTCTTTTTTTTTTCCATTAACATTTAGCAAGATTTTCTTTCTTTCTTTCTTTCTTTCTTTCTTTCTTTCTTTCTTTCTTTCTTTCTTTATTTTTATTTAATTTTATATAACAAAGTCCAATTAAATGAAAACAAACATTTATACACAACATTTGGGAATTTGGGCGTCGCTCTTTCCAAACTACTTCCTGCTGGTAAGGGGCGCTGTCTTGGGGGATTCGAAGAAGATTCAGATATCCTAGCTGCAGTCTGCAGGGCCGCCTTGTCCAGCCGTTTGGAATGTAGGATCAGCCTGTACTCTGTTTCAGGCGGTCTGGCGTGATCAAACCACATTAGTCTGGAAGGAATCCACATCTTTTCATTTTCTGTGGAAACAAAAATAGAAATACTTTTCCCCAGTAACTTGTTCTTCAACTTAAATTTTGGAGTCAAAGCGTTTTTTTTTTTTTTTTTTTTTAATTTATTATTTTACATGGCGATCCCAGTTCCCTCTCCCTCCCTCCCTCCCCTCCAGCCCTCCCTCCCTTCTTCCCTCCCTTTTGCCCTTTCTGCCCTCTCCCATGCACTCTAAACACCCTCCCCTCCCAACCCCCCACCACAATACCATATGTAGGGGAATGCCATTCAGTTGGGGTCATGTAGATCTGACAGGTCCTATGAAGTAGGGACTAGGGCTTCTCTCCTATCTCTAGAATAAGGCAGTTATCCCTCCATGGGGGATATGTTTGCAAAGTCCTTTTGTGCATCAGGGATACATCCTGGCTCCACTGTCTGAGGTCTCTTAGACTGCTCAGACCTTCTGGCTGAGACCCATATTCAGGGGGGTCCGAGTCAGTCCCCTGTTGGCTTCCCAGCTATCAGTCTAGTGGCCCTTAGCTCCTCCTTGTTCAGGTAAGCTGTCTCTATGTACTTCTACCGCACCACATGCTTATTTTCAAAGTATTCTTTTCTCTTTGTTATTTCTATCTGCAAGTTCTTAATTGAAGTTTCAGAAGGCAGATTGTAAAGCAAAATGGAACCTACAAAGTAATAGTTTGTGCCTCTTGTTAGGTTATGATGATATAATGATTCTATTATTATTTGTTGCCCCCTTTATTAACATATATTAGGCATATTAAAGCTGTCTAGCAGATATCTAATAAATGACAGGCAGAACCCTTGCTTTTTTGAATTACTTATGTGCTCTTCTATGAACATTCAAGATATGCTCAAATTATAATTCACTCCCAGCCCTCAGTTTGGGTGAAGGAGCAGATGAACCCTCAGGTTCTTCATTGGCATTAGAAACCCTTGGGAATAATTTTAGACTTGATTATATTATGGCTGCTTAATGAATGACTGGTCACCCTTGAACCTCTGTGTATTACTTGAGTTAGGAAAGGTCAAAATAGATGTTTTGAATGGTTTTAGAAAAACCGTGATAGGAAATATTATGGTTAATTTCTTTCATTCCTCCCATAGCTTTTAGGGCTGCTGTGTAGCTACAGTCCTGTCATGGTACGGTGATATTGTATTGTTATTAGTTTTATATATGCACAAATAGCAATGCAGTTTTCATAGTTTAATAGAATTGGAGTTACTGTGTTTACAGAATTTATTTTTCAAACCTTATATGTTACAAATTGCTAGTATGTTTTCCACACATTTTTCTGTAACTAGTCCTGACGAGTCTAATGCCAGCTGAATGTTATCTTGCAATGGTTTACACACGTCAATCATGAGTAAATTGCCTCCTGACATCAGAGTTTCCTTTTAAACTTTTTGCATTGGTATGTTTACAGTTGTGCTTAATACAGTCAGTGAGTGCCAGCTGAGTTTATTGAATCATCTTACTCTCCTCTGCCCTTTCTCTAATCAGTAGTAACCAATGCATGTGCCATCCCCAATAAGGATGTATGCAGTACACTGAGGATGCTTCTGAAATCTGAAAGTATTTAATCACTTGTTACCGACACTTGACAGTTTTATTTGACATCTGTTCCTTTAAACAATCTCACAGAACCCTCTTAATTTTTATGGCCAGCAGTCTGGCTTCCACTATACACTGGGAATCTGACATTTTAAGTTATAGGAAAAAAGTATCAATAATTCTGCAAGAAAGTAATTCTTGAGTGTAGCTCTGGGCTGAGTGCTTCTCTGATGAAGACTGATGATGTTCTGGTCAATGGACATAGGCCAGAGTAATTTTTTATTATGGCCTTTTAGCAGTATAATTGCAGTAGGTTTTCTCTTAGGGTCTATGACTTATAGAGTCTTGGATTCTTCGTTACTTTAGTATTGTGAGGTATGGTATCTATCTCATGGAGTGGGCCAATTTTTTAAAAGTGGTTGGTAACTCCCATAATTTTTTGCCACTATTATAGGTTGCAGGGTTCATAACTGGGTGATATTGGTGATTACTTTTCTTCTCTAGTAGTATGTAGTGTACCTTCCAGCATCACAACTGCTAGTCCTGGGCACCAGCTCAACTTCTCCATGTTCAGTTACATAAGTAATTGGTGTCTTCAGCAATAGTTTTCCCAAACTTACAAGTTTATAATATGAGAAAGAACACAAAGAAAATTTATATTCATATATTCATAGGAATATACGGGATTTTAAGTGAATATGTGAAAATTGTTTCCTAACTTAGAAGAAATGGGTGCACTTTTAGAAGTAGAAAATCCGGGAGGTG